AAAGTTATTCATGATTAAATTTGTAAATTTTTAACTTTTGTAAAACCCACTTGCATATGGAGTATTAGCCTTTTGACACATGTGTTAGTGAGAGTGAAAGAGAGACATGTAAACACCTCTATATAAGGTGGGTTTGTCCACTTGTAGAGGTGTGCTTGAGAGATGTAAAAGTTGAGTGTGTAAGTGTTTGTTATTTATGTAGTCTAGATCTAGATCATTTTTGTGTAACACCATATACAATCAATACATCTCTTAAACACCCAAATCACCATGCTCAGTTGTGCAATCTTTAATTCTGCATGCCAAACGATATTCTTTGTCACTACAATTGGTATCAGAGAGGGTCTTATAGATCAAGGTGATTTTTGAAGAACGATTCTCGGTTTGGCAACATTTGTCGCAATTTGATCATTTTTGGTGAGTCTCTCTCTATGATCTCTCTTCATATCATTGAATCGTGCGTTGCATTTTTGAATTGTGATTGTTTAACTCGTTGGATCAAATTTATCTTGAAAAACCCATTTTTCGTGATCCAATAATTCTTTTGTTGATCAAGGTCCGATCCAATCTCATATTTGTTCATTTGATTTGATTCTCAAATTATGATTGTTCGTTCGTGTTATGTCAAAATTAATTCTGATATATTTCTTTTTGATTTAGCCAAAAAATTTGACATCTTATTGTTCATAAATGAAATTGGAGCCCAATTCATATTCTTATTTGATAATTTTGATATGTGTGGTAATCAAGAGCCCAATATTTCATCCGTTTATGATCCAAAAGAACTCTTCATTGTTCATTAATAATTTGAGCCCAAAATCGTGAATATCTTTAACTCATTAAATCGTTTGAATCATCGATAGATGTTCGTATTCTAACTTGTACACACGCTTCTTGTACATGTACCATCGTTTCATGTATCTTCTTAATCATTTGATTTTGAAGTTCGATTTCGTTGTCTTGAAGTTTGATTTTGTTGTAATCTTTCTAAAAAATCGATTAGAATTCCGTGTTAAACAACACTTCTGAATCAATTCTACGTGTTATGTTCAATCACATAAATTGATTATGATCAAGTCAAAGTAAAAAGTCAAATTTGATAGTTCATCGTTGAACAACTAGTTTTCGATGGGTGTTCTTGAGCTATAGATTTTCTGTGTTGATTGTTGATTGATGGTTTGCTTTGATCAATTGTTATCGAATGAGAATATGTGATCAAGATTTGGAGTTCATTGTTGGTATAGTGATCTTGGAGATCGAATCCAACTGTTATTTGGGTTAGATTCAGTCATCAACTGTCTATGCTCAAGTTTGATTCTGTAATTTTCAAAATTGATTCTTGGGGCGAATGATCGAATATTTGGAGTTATAGATTTCGTTTAGAATCTGTTGTTGATGATAACGATTTTGGAATTGGGGCGAATGATCGAATATTTGGAGTTATAGATTTCGTTATATCAAAGGATGGTTTGGGGATGACTAGATTATGATGTAACAGGTCTCATATGCGAAAATTAAAAAATTTCGATTGTTGATGACGAAGTCTTTTGGGAAGAGGATTTGTTGATGTTTGGGTTTATACGAAGTGTATTTGAAGTTTAAACAAAGGGTATGGACTGTGAAATTGCTATCAAATGGTTGATCTTGATAGTTCCTTGAATTTGTGAACAAGTTGATCGATTCGAAGGGTACTGGTTAATGTACGAAAAACAAAGAGTGGGTTTTTGATTGGAACGAAGGGATGTTTGTATGGGATTTATACGAAGGGATTATTGATGAATTATACGAAGGGATTATTGCATATTGTACGAAGGGTTGAAAATTTCGTGTGTTTTGAACGAATGGTATGATTTTTCGTATGAATTGAAGGCAATGGTCAAATTTTTGAAAACAACCCTTGTACCTTCGAATTTTTGACACTTCGAACATTAACACAAGTTTCGAATGATTGACACTTTTCACCCAAATTCAAAAAATTTTGGAGCTTCGTATATTTTGGGGATGCTTCGTATAAATTGGGCACGAAGAGCAGAATTTTCAAAAATAATCCCTAAGACTTCGAATTTTTGGCAGTTTGCACCCAAATTCGAAAAAGGACTAATTTTTGCCGAAAATTGAAGATTGTGCATTTTAGGCCTTTGTAGTTTGTGCAAATTGACGCTTTTTACCAAGATTTGAAAAAGGGGGAGAGTCCTGCATATTTAGTTGTTTTGGGCGCAACGAGTCACTGCAGAATTTTAAAATTGACAATTTCTACCTACTTTTGAGAAATTTTGTCAAAGGCAATCCGTGAACGAAATTAAAAATTGAATATTTTTTGGATTTTCTGGATTGTAGCACAAAGTTTATGCCACATGTTAAGGGGCAGTTTTTACATGAAAAATTCCGAATAGAGAACGTTCTTTTTCCTTGGAGTTTTATAATAAAATTTCGATTATAAAAAGGGGGAGAAGTTTTATATGGAAATTCGAACTTGAATTTTTCATAGTATGCAGATTTGAAGACCGAAGTGATCTTGAAGTTTTGAAGCTTACGAGTTGATGCAATTGAAAGTTCGGAAGTGATGTATTCGAAATGGGTTTGGTTTTATTGAAGATTTTTAGGGTGTGTTTTTATGCGCAACTTTTGGGTGATTATTTGAAGTTTGGAATACTCTTGATCATTCGTTGCTGCTCGGTTTGTATGCTCTCACATCCTAGAGCCCAAATTGAAGAATCATGGAAGAATTGAAGATTGAAGTTCGTTTCAACATGTGTCACCTTTGAGGCTCGAACCACGTAGTTGATCCACTTTGGAAGAATTGAAGTGGGTCATTCATTCCTAACTTTGAGGGGGAGAATTGTTTTTTTATTATTTTTTTAAATAAGATCTTCAATTCAGCTCAATTACGCTTTAAGATTTATTACAGAGAGAATAGACAATCATGTTCAAGTTGTCTAACTTTAGTAAACGATCCTATTTATAGGATACATAAAGTGTACACAAAATATAATAAGGCTAAAACACTTAAGCTTCGAATCAAAAGAGCCCTAGTAAAATATATTACAGACCATACGAAGTGTACACAATAGGCTTTGATTCA